AGCTCTTGCTGCACCTCGCCCACCCGAGCCTCGTGCCTCTCTCGCTCGGTGCGCTCCTGGGCTGCCTTTTCTTCGGCCTGGGACAGCGCTTGCTTCAGGGTCGCCACCTCGGTCGTGGCCCCTGGCAAACATACAATGATCCTGTCATTCAGCAATCGCGTCCTTTTTCTCATCTACAGACGGGGTATCACTTACCCTTGTTCTCCTCGAGCTGCCTCTTAGCAAGGCCGAGCTCCTTCTGGGACCCCTCGAGGGCCTCCTTTAGTACGGCGACCTCTGCAGTTAGTGCGGCGGACGCCAGCAGCGAAGCGTGCACATGCATATTGACATACTTATATTAAACTCCTGCGATATTATTTAATCCTCTGTTCGGCTTTTCTCTGTGAACACCGAACAAAGCATCAGGGGCTACTGTCTATGCGGTAACACTTCTACTGCATTTTAAAATACTTACCTCGAAGCCTGTTAGAAGGCTAGTACAGGCTTCAGTCAATCCGCTCTTGGCGGACTGAACATTCTGGATCACCGCACTCATGATAGTGTGGTGCTCCTCCTTGATGGAAGCGCTGCGAAGTGCTTCCAACATAGTGTCCGACGCCTCTGGGTGGACAGAGGTCACCGGCACTGGCGTCTCACCCTCCTTAGAAGGGGACTGCCTGCCCGAGCTCGGATCCATTGAAGGGTCTGGCGTGGTGTTCGGCTGAGGGCCGAACTCGGAGCTTCCGGGGACCCCGTCCCCTCGGCTCCCGGAGTACGGAAGGTCGCCTTGAGGCGCCTCTGGGACTGTCCCCCCCGATCCAGTGCCTCTTGAGACAGCACGTCGGTGTCGTCGGCCGGATGAGGGGAGGTGGCCGCCGGGACTGGATCGCTATCCATGTCCGACGCGCCCAAGGGGCTGTCCGAGTATACCTCGATATTGGCTCGGGGCGGCCTGCACAATTGAGTTCGGCATTAAGGAAAGCAATGCGAGAAAGGAATCCTATGGGTTACTTTGGTATCCGAATACTTACGATCTCCCCTGGGGCTTGCCCCTGGGAAACCACTCGTCTTCACTTTCGTCGGCGGCGGTGGAGCTGTCCGGAAGGAGCGTCCTTCCCTTCTTGGACCCTTCGGCCTCCCCAGTTGGGGCGGCCTTCCTTTTCTTGTCTCCCCCAGTCGGTGGGGGAGCCTCCTCTTCCTCTTCCTCGTCTTCGGGGGAAGAGTGCACCGCAGAGTCATCGGACGGTGAGTCCGACGACGCCTGGCGTTGGGAACTCTTTTGAGCTCCCTTGGCCTTCTTGGTCTTCTCCGGCACCTTATAAGGGGCCGGAGTCAGCATCTTCATCAGAAGAGTGTCTGCGGGGCCTTCGGGCAAGGGAGCCAGACAGTCGATCTGTCCGTCCATCTTCTGCCAGTCCTGTCAAAATTACGGGAGTTTAGATCCCGCATAGAGCCAATCTATATATATATATAACAAATATACTGTAAGAGGTAAAACAACTTACCGCACTGGCGTGGCGCTTCGTGCTGAATCCGCGATCCTCAGTAATGGGGGGAGGGACCGTGGCGCCCTTGAACAGCACCCTCCAGGCATCTTCATGAGTCGTGTCGAAGAGCCTGTTCAGAGTTCGGTGCTGCGCCGGATTGAACTCCCACAAGGTAAACTCCCGTTGTTGGCACGGGAGTATTCGGCGAAATAGCATAACCTGAACTATGTTGACAAGCTTGAGCTTCTTATCCACCATGTTCTGAATAAATGACTGGAGTCCGGTTAGCTCTTTTGAATTACCCCAGGACATGCCCTTCTCTTTCCAGGAGGTGAGCCGCATGGGGATGCCAGATCGGAACTCGGGGGATGCTACCCATGCGGGGTCACACGGCTCGGTGATATAGAACCACCCCGATTTCCACACCTTTATGGTGTCCACGAAGGTGCCCTCGAGCCATGTGATGTTGGGCATCTTGCCCACCATGGCGCCTCCGCACTCCGCCTGGCGACCGCTCACTACCTTCGGCTTGACATTGAAGGTCTTCAACCATAAGCCGAAGTGGGGCTTGATGCGGAGGAAGGCCTCACACACGACGATAAATGCCGAGATGTTGACGATGAAGTTCGGGGCCAGATCATGGAAATCCAGGCCGTAATAAAACATGAGCCCCGGACGAAGGGATGGAGAGGAAATCCCAGTCCGCGGAGGAAATCAGTGAGGAATACCACCCTCTCATGGGACTCGGGGGTGGGGATGAGCTGTCCCTCATCTGGGAGCCGGTGCGCGATGTTGTCGTGCAGGTATCCGGCTCTCCTCAGTTTCTTGATGTCTCCCTCCGTGATGGAGGAGACCATCCACTTGCCTCCCGCTCCGGACATGGTTGGAGAAGGTTGAGGTGGAAGTGAGAGCTTGGGCGCTAGAGCTCGAGTATGCGGGAGCGGATGAGCAGAGGAAGAAGAAGGCGTGGATAGAAAGGTGAATCCTTATCCCTTTATATGGGCAGACAAAATTAAACGTCCCCACTTGCCTAGTAAAACTCGCTTATCCCCCAAGCGCCGCAATTGATGGCGCGGTTGGGTTACCCACGCCCGTATTGATGAGAATCCCGTAATAGGGGGACACGATCTCTGCTTTGACAAGACGTGTCGAAAAACTGCCTCGCGTTATGTGCGGGGCTGGTTAAAAGAAACAGTTCGAATAATCACCGGGCCATGACGTAACGTCATGTTGCCAAAGCAAGCTAGCGGATTAGATCTGCGAAAGCATTATTCTCTACGGCGAAGTGCGGAACTTATTTTGCAGGGTCGGACACTATCCTCGTATTCAAGTTCTTCTGTGATGTATTCAGAGAAGGAACCCGCCTTGCAATGCCGAAGACAACTGTGCACGGGACTCATCGTCATTGAAGCCTGGTTCAGGGGATACTGGGGGAGTCCTGGATTAGGGGGTCTCCGGACAGCCGGACTATCTCCGTTGGCCGGACTGTTAGACTATGAAGATACAAGATTGAAGACTTCGTCTCGTGTCCGGATGGGACTCTACTTGGCGTGGAAGGCAAGCTAGGCAATACGTATATGGATATATCTCCTCCTTTGTAACCGACCTTGTGTAACCCTAGCCCTCTCCAGTGTCTATATAAACCGGAGGGTTTTAGTCTGTAGGACAACAATCACAACATACAATCATACCATAGGCTAGCTTCTAGGGTTTAGCCTCTCTGATCTCATGGTAGATCTACTCTTGTAACACCTATATCATCAATATCAATCAAGCAGGACGTAGGGTTTTACCTCCATCAAGAGGGCCCGAACCTGGGTAAAACTTCGTGTCCCTTGCCTCTTGTTACCATCCGGCCTAGACGCACAGTTCGGGACCCCCTACCCGAGATCCGCCGGTTTTGACACCGACAGCGCTCCTCGAAGGAGCCCGCCAAAGAAGAGACAGACTTGCCAAGACTGTCAATATTTTCCAAGTTTTCCTCCCCTACATCTGAACTCATCTTGGTCCTCTTTGTATCTTGTTTGTTGCTCGGGCTAGCTGGAACAGTTGAGGGTGCTGGTAGCAAAAACATCGCCCCCTAGCGTGCACCGCTTATCTCGTTGTTCCCTGATTGCATCCCATATTGCGTGTGGGTTGGTGCCCTCTTTCTGTTGTTATCACCTTCATCCATGACGGTGTCTGAAGCACTGCCAATATCATCCTTTCCATCGCTGCCCTTGTCATGATCAAAATGAGGGCCAGCTGCACTACCTCCACGGCGCCCTCTCCGACCAATCTGCGGCCTCGTCCCCCTCCTAGACCATGTCCGGTTCGCATAACCCATGAAGCTCTCAGGTCTTTGAAAACCAAAGTTGATGGTGGGTGAATTCCATTGCCATGCTCTTTGAACTGATGACCTAGCAGGCCACGCACCGCACACCAATACGGGAGTTTTTCATATTTGAGCCTGTAAATCTGGCGCTTCCCATCCCTTATCATCGAGACAGCATTCCTCAGTGGCTTGTTGACATTGATCCGAACCCATATCCGATGGAAATTGCGCGTGAAATCTTGTGACTGTGGCTCGGCATATAGGACTTCTCCTACCTTTGCTACTAAGGATGGGACAAGATGGGCATACAAGGGTGGCACATCATGGATTTGCACCCATATTTCAATCGTATCAAGTAGGGCCGTAGATGGTTTAGCCATCCCATCATACGGTTTGAGTATCACATCATCACCCCGGAAGTGCCACAGGCCATCACGCATTACTCTCTCCCAATCACCTAGGCAAGAGAACTACACAGTGTATAAATTATCTTCCAGAGGTTTGAACTGCACCTCCTGTGCTAGATCCCATGCAACTCTCATGTTCTTGAAAAACCAATACTGGATGTATGTCTATGGCGAGTGAACCCTAGCCAGTGCTATCCATCGCGCCGCCTCACCCGGGGCCTCATCTTCATTGAAAACCACGTCGTCTAGGTCCTCCTCCCGAAGACCTAGTTCCTTCATCAGCGCAGTCACATCATCCGGATTCGTAGGTCCCGAACTCGACCACGAAGCTCCGCCTAATGCCATGACTTTTTCGAACCCTAACCCGATCAACAACGTACCGGCTCTTGCAGGAACCCTAGAAGCCTCCTTCTCTCCCCACCCCACCCGGATCGATGAGCCTGACGCAATCAATCTCGAGCGAAGGACTAGGGAAGGAAGCGGGGACAGGGAAAGCCAGGTCTCAATGGCGGCGACCTAGATCGCCCCGAGAGGAAAGAAACCCTAGCGAGAAGGAAACGTTCGGATCATGTGGTAGCGCAGCGGCCGCCCAAATTTGGGCCGGCGCGTCGGCGAGTATCACTCCTTTTTTTAGTGGTAGGGAATGGAAAGCTGCGACTGCGAATGGATACATTATCGTGGGCCTAATCTATTTTCAGGGGATCGTGGGCTTAAATCTCCGCAGGGCAAAAAATATAAAATTGGTAGGAGTATTAGATATCGTGGGCCGGTCCACTTCACTTCACACCGCACGAGAGGAACGAGGGCGAGAAGATGAGCAGCCCCCGCTGGCCGGCGGCGACGCCGCCGCTGGAAGACGAGGATCTGCTCACCGAGATCCTCCTCCGCCTCCCCCCGCAGCCCTCCTCCCTCCCGCGCGCCTCCCTCGTCTGCCGTCAATGGTGCTGCCTCATCTCCGACCCACGATTCGTCCGTCGGTTCCGCCGCCGCTACCGCCGCAACCCTCCCCTCGTCGGTTTCTTCGACATGGGTCCTCGCAGCCTCTACTTCGTACCCACACTGGAGGACCCCAACCGTGTCCCGCCCGAGCGCTTCGCCTTGCAGTTCGAGGACGGCGACCAATTCATGCCCCTCGGATCCCGCCATGGCCTCGTGTTCGTCATCCACCTGACGTGGAGCCGGGTCCTGGTGTGGGATCCGGTCACCGCCGACCAGCACCTCATCGCCCTCCCCCCTGGCTTAATGGGACATCTGAACAGGATCATGGTCCACGGGGCCGTGCTTCGTGCTGCCGGAGAGGCCCAGCATTTCCAGGTGGTTTTGATGGTGGCAGATGATGATTATGACATGCAGGACAGGCAAATGCTGGCCTGCGTTTACTCGTCGAAGACCGGCGTGTGGGGTGATATCATCTCAGCGCCGCTTCCGCCCAAGGTTCCTATCGGCAGCTGGCCCCTCATGGTTTCTCCGTCCAAGGAAGCTGTGCTGGTTGATAATTCCCTTCACTGGATGCTTTTTGGGAGCTTAGTTGGAATTCTCGAGTTTGATCTGTTGAAGCAGAGCATAGCCGTGATACCGACACCAGTGGGTGTGGTTTCCTCCCACGGCAGACATGAATTGACGGTTGTACGGGCAAAGGGCGGTGGCCTTGGTTTTCTCATCGTGATAGACTTCTGCGCACAATCATGGAGGAGAAAGACCGATTGTCATGGTGTTGCTTCATGGGAGCTGGAAAGAACTATCGAACTGGACAAGCTACTTCCCCTGAATCCAGAGATGAGAGCACACTTATACATAGTAGGGTTTGCTGAGGAGAATAATGTGGTGTTCATGTGGACATCAGTTATCGGTCTCTTCCTGATTCATCTTGAGTCATTGCAGTTCAAGAAAATTCCCCATCCCAGCATGCTTGCCCGTTATCTTCCATTTGAAAGTGTCTTTATTGCAGGTAATATAGCATGTCTTTACACATCTCAGAATAAATAAAACAAGCATGCCTTTGCACTGCGGGTAGTATAACAAATCAAGTTAGTTTTAGTAACTGGTTGATGGAATTGTGTTCGCATCCTTTCATGTTAAGCTAACAATTGTAAGCAGTGTTGCATCACTTGTTTCTTCGGTTGCTTGTTGATCTCGTCAACATATAGCGATGTCATTCTGCAATGTTCTGTTTGACACTTGTGTAATGCATAGCTGCAGTATCTTTTTTTTCTCTCAAGATGAGAATGAGATACACAGCTTTTCGAAGTTGATTACATGAAAAAAATCTCTAAATCACAATCACTTATATTCCCAGGGTTTATTAGTATGATGAGTATATTTTATTTTACTTTCCGATATGGTGTAGGACAAGCTTAAGAATATATCCAGATAACCTCTGCCCCACATGACACATTGTTTGCTTTGACTTATTGTTATTATGCTTGTAGAAACATGTGTTGGTGGTGGACATGATGGAGCTGTTGCTGGTGGACAGGACCGAGGTGAGCTTTTGCTCAATACCTCTATTTGTTAAGCAGGTAAGCTTAAGCTTATTTTCTGTATGTATGTTGAGGTATCTGAACAGCTGTTAAAAAACTATTTTCTTTTCTTTTCACTACCATTTCTCAAGTACCAAATTGAAAGAAAGATTGTAAGATTTTTTCCGCAACCCTTTGCTCAGTTTTTATGCACACCTGACAACCTCCTATGATGCTGCCTTTCATGGCAGGCTGCCTCTCATGGTGAAAGTATTGCTTGACACTGTGAGAGTAAAAGAAATGACAGTCATTTTTGACCAATGGAAGTGTGAATTAATAATATGTTGCACAATCCCTTGCTTGAGGCTTATACAGCATGATATTTTTTTTTTGGATCAACTTGAGGCCCTCGAGGGGAGGCCCATGGTTCCCTTTATAATGCATTTACTTTATCAAAGCCGATTGTTTAGTGACTAGCTAACTCGTACATTTCTAAACCAAATGTTTTTGCTTTCCTACCCCATGAGCCCCTCGTGTGTCAACTGTTCTTTTAATTAACCTCTGCTCAGATCAGATGTAGCCAATATTGCTAGTAGTACTAGAAGTTTTTTTTTAGAGAGCTAGTATTCGAAGTTGAAGGCGTGTGACTAAACTAAAAGTTGCTTTTTTTTTTGTATCAGAGCCAAACTAAAAGTTGCTTAATGTTGTTATATATTTCAAATATTGGTTTTGTCTAGTGATGCTGAAGATGGTTCAACTTTGCAGCTTTTGGCATAATTTACACAAATGGTGAAGCTAATGTTTATTGTTTGAGACATACAAAAGTTATACTCCCAATGGGTTTTCCTGAATGAATAGTACAATTTTGTTTGACTGATGGTATTACTTGCTTTCAGGTATCTAGAGTTATATTCCGGTGGTTGCGATGCAGCAATGAGCTGTTCAGTCTAGGTTCTACCAATTTGTATGCTTGGCTTGGTCCCTCTAAGTGTCATGCACCGGTCAGCTGTGAATTGGACTTGTAGGAAATAATCACTCAATTTGCTCAGTGTTTAGAAGCTTAGTTCTGACTAATAAATGTTGAATTGGACCTGATTTCCTGGTGCTATTTGCTACTGCATAGCCAGTGATTCAATCAGGGCAGGTTTCAGTGCTATTTGGCTTCTTTGGGATGCTGCCAAGGCCTGGACGATTGGCCTAAATTTGGGCTTCTTTTATGAGTTGGCTAACATTTGAAATATTTTATGAGTCAGCATCTGAAGATCTCATTCATTCGTGGCAAAAACAAAAGATGAATAATTTGGATGCGTTTTAGCTTTGATTTGCCAGTACACATGAATGAACACGTTTGTTTTGAGATTCAGCTGCTGTTATGTTTTGCTATCTAGGACATGTATTTCTTCTCATTCCTTCTCTGAGGGGTGGCAATTTTAATTCTTTACAAGTTAGCTTAAGAAAGTCTTTGTTTTCTCACTTTTTCCTCGTGAAGTCAAATAATTTTGGTTGCTGTGATCCAGCCAAATTAACTTTGTCATTTGTTATGGATGACTTCCACAGAAGCAAAATATACTTTTATTGATTGCTGCCTTGCTGGTCTAGTCACAGCCGTTGAGCATTCCATGAATGATGATTCTGCTCTTTCAAGCATATTTTTTTTCTTAAGATGCATGGTCCGTCGTCTTACCAGCCATGGATTTTTCTTCAGGAACAATGAAGAAGAGAACTGCTGTGCTGACTGATGAGACTCTGTCAGTATATGAGCAGCAGTGTGCTGGAGGTTCTTTATATGGCACTGGAGTTCCCAGGGGAAAACTAACATCAATTTAATACTGGACAATTTGATATGTAGCCGAGCAAATTAAATGACCACACTGTCCTGTAGCCAAATTTGCCATGGTGTTCAATAAACGTTGGCCATGTATTCATTCTCAAACAAAATAAGGACCTGTCTAGTGATGTCACGATCAGCGGCGGTAAGTGCCAGGGAAAGTCAGGAATCTGTGGAATAAGACATCTCTTGGCATGTAATATTTTAGGAAATGATCGTGTAAATAATAATGTTTAAGTTTTCAATTGATTAATTATCTTTCAGATAATTCATGCTTCCATATAACAAATTTTTGCTTATAGCAGTACTGAAATTTGGCTTCAGGAAATTCGTTTAGAAATACCAGAAGTAAATGTAACACCAGTTTTGTTTCCAAAGTAGCAAAGATGTTCCAATCAACTTGCATGTGATCTATGCAAGAGACATCTAATTCAATTTGTTTTAACTAATTATGTGTCTAAAAAACTAATTAGCCTAGCAAATACTCATAATTTATTTTTCACACAATGCTTCCATAACTTTTTTGTTTGTAGCGATACTGGAACTTGTTTTCAGGAAGCTTGCTTCCATATGATGAATGTAGCATAAATCAGTATCCTCCCTCTGTTTTTGTGTAAAAGGTCACTTCATATTTTTATGTCTAGCTTTGACAATTAATTTTAGCAATAAAATATGGGTTAAATGTCACAAAAAGTATGGCACTGGATGCACTTTTCAAAGAACTTTCTGATGATATTTTTGTTGACATATAATCCATATTTTGTTGATCAAAATTATAAGTCAAAGTTTGACACAAAAGTGAAGTGGCCTTATATAAAAAAACGAAGGGAGTACATCATTGTCTTTCGTTTCAAGTGGCAAATCATTGTTTAGATGAATTTCGAGTGGCAAATCAATACATGTAACAATGAGCTGCCACTACATGAGCCGATCCATTTTACGTCATTCACGTCATGGGCTTCAATTTTACTATCAGCAGTATGGGTCGATCGATCCACTTAACTCCGTCCACCCACATCGTGACTGCGATCAGGAAAATTGCGCAGTTCCGTCTCGTACCGGCAGATCTCCTGTCGTCCATTGCGTTTTAAAGATTGGTGCAGCACTGCGTAGTATAAAAAACAAAGCATTTTGTTTTGGGAAATACATAGCTATACATGCAAACAGGATACACAGGTCCCATCAAAGTCAGCATTTGGTCAGATGACAGAGCGTCTTGCATGCATGTGCTATCCATTCCCCCTCTCTCTCTCTCTCTCTCTCTCTCTCTCTCTCTCTCTCTCTCTCTCAAACTAATTCATACATTTATTTCACCTTTGCTAACTTAAAATCATTCATGTTTCTTAAACCAAAGTTTCGATTTCAATACTTTTTATACATTTGAAATCATATTGCAAAGATTTTTAAAAGAAGACCGATTTTGGATACATTTTAAATAAGTTACAATTCATGAAACACATTTCACCTGCTTAGAGCAACTCTAGCAGACCCCGCATCCCGCCCCGACCCGCAAAATAACCGCCAAAATGCAGGTCGGGGCGGAAAAACCAGCCCGATCAGACCCTGCATTCCGCCCCGGCCCGCAAAAAATTTTAGGGGGCGCGGCAAAATCCCGACCCCAACCCAGGAAAACGCGGGTTTCCCCCTCGCGGCTGCGGTGCCCTGCATATAAGCGGAAGCGGTTAGTGGGGGGGGGGGCATTTCATCCCTCGCTTTCTCCCATCAACCACCTCTCCTCTCCCCCCACGCGCCGGCCGCCGCCCAAGATTCCGGCGACAGCAGCCGACAGGAGTACGCCGAAAGGCTGCCACGCGCATGAGGCCTCCCCTCCCTTCCCCCATCGTCGGCGGGCCGCTGGATTTGCAGATCTGCGGCACTTCATCGCGGGTCGTCGGATTTGCCTTTTTCCGGCCGCCGGTTGCTGCCCCAGGCGATGGAGTGGTCGGGGAGCCTCTCCCGCAACCCAAGCAAGGGCGCATCGCCGCATGCAGGCACGGATTCGTCCGCCCGCCGCCGCCGAAGGTTTGCGGGCATGGACTTGTCCGGCTGTCCACCAGGCTCGGCGCTCGCGCAGCGTCTTTGTGGTCTGCCGATGCCGCTCATAGAGTGCGATGACTGCCCGCGCCAAGTGCTGCGGCTCACTTCGGGCACGCCGAAGCACCCCGGACGGGTGTTCTACAAATTCGAAAACGACGGGGTACGTGCACTTGCGGTACCTCGTTCCATAGCTCATTCTTTAGTTCAATTGCGGTAGCTCACTTCGAGCTTGCTCAATGTTTTTGTGTAGGACCATGGATGCTCATTTTGGTTTTGGGAAGGACAATACATTGATTTGTTGATAGAAAGAAACTTAATAGATGTTAGTGCACTCCTTAGTACAATCGAAGGCAATGATGCGGCGGCATGTGCAACTAGAAGGGAAGAAACGTCTACTTCTTTGAAACCAAAGATGAAGAATGAAGAAAGCAAGATCAAGAATCCGCAGGATCAATAATGAGTGCATGGAGAAGATATTGCTTCAACTAGTGGGAGCAGTTATGAAAGTTGGAAATCTTCTGAAATGCATACTTGTGGTTCTTGTTTTCTTTGGTTTTGTTATTCTAGCCAAGATTTGGTGATATCTTTTGTATCTAATGTTGTTGCAAAAGCAAAGAAAAGCATTATGCTAGATCAATTTAAGTTGCAAATCTAAGTTTTGCAGGCCGGGAGGAGCTACGCCAAATCAGAACCCGCAGAAGCCGACCCATAAAAAAAGCATATTCCGCAAATATACTTTTTTACGGGTCCATTATACGGGGTCTGCATCTGTGCCAACCCGCGTCGGCCCACAAAAGCGGTTTTGCGCGAACTGCAAACGCATTTTGCGGGCCGGCGGGATGCGGGGTCTACTAGAGTTGCTCTTAAAACCTTATGAATAAAATGATTTCAATCAATTTCACAAATTCACATTTCAGTTTTGTGTTGTTTTTCACATCAGAACTTACATTTCACTTTTCACTGGCTTGTTTCAGATTCACATCTATTTCAATTGCACATTTGGAAATGACCGGTTTCACAAGTTGACATTTCAGTTCATATAATAGGTTTCACAAGTTGACACTTGAAATAAATTGTTGGACATTTCGAAATAATCGGTTTCACAAATTAACATTTTAGTTTCATATTGTTTTCACTTTCAGAACATGAATTTCACTTTCCACGGGCTTGTTTCACAAAAAGCACATACATCTCAATTGCACATGTTTGAAAAAACATGTTTCACTCTTCTGAAATAAACTGGTACACATTTGAAAATAATCAGTTTCACAAGTTAACTTTTTGGTTTCTTATTATTTTTCCCTTTCAGAACATACATTTCACTTTTAACTGACTTGTTACATAAAAACACATATATTTCAATTGCACATTTTTAAAATAAGATAATGTTTCACTTTTTTGAAATAAATTGTAACACGTTTCAAAAAAAGTTATGAAATAACTTATTTTACTCTTTTGAAATAAAAATGTTACATACTTCCAAATAATTAGTTTCACAAGGTGTCATTTGAGTTTAATAGGTTTATGTGAAAAGTGTTATTTTCACATATTTCTAGTGAAATAGGTTTTTTCAGATTTTTCTAGTGAAATGTGTTTATTTCATAGATGAAAGGTGAAACGCTGAAAATTAAATGTGTTTGAAATGTAACCAAAATTGGTCTAGTTTTAAAGTTCTTGACGCCAGGAGTCCAGATATATAAAAAGTTTCAAAAACGAGTCTATAGTTTAAAAAATATGGTTGATTTAAATTCTCTAAGAGTAAATAAAGTCTATGGATTTGTTCCGCGGGTAGAGTGAGAGGAGAAACTTGCATGCATACCGTCCCTGACAAAAGGTGTACTTTTGGGGTCCATTATGCTGCCACTGATTTGATTAGAAATAAAGATACAAGAAATATACCAGTGCTGTACATTTAGGTGGGCCGTACATTTTTACGAATCTCAGAACAGGTGGATGGCCCTAGATCTACCAGCACATCACGAAACCGCCCAATATGACTTTGTAATCATGGCTACCACTACCATTAGACTCCGGTCCATTGTCTCAAAAAGAAAAAGGAAAGCAGACTCCAGTCCACCCTCCACCATTTCCCCTTCCAGCATGAGTCTTGAGGAGATTGAGATGACGGCCAGCTGCCTCCCTCAGTCGGCGCCGCCGCTGGAAGTGGAAGACCTGCCCACTG